TAAACTACTTATAATGATTTTTTTTTTCTATTACTATGTATTAAGTTCATATGTTTGCCTCGAAGGTGGTGTGAAAAATATTATTGTTATTTTGAGTACATTTTTATAAAAATTAAATGGATTATTACATATTATTAAGGTGAAAGATCTATCTAAATTAAATGTCGAAGACATGAATATGCGTGAAGCGGTGGGGATTGGTTGGGGAATTTGAACATAATTTTATTTGGTTAATCATTTACAACTGTAAATTAATGGTCGTTTACGGAAACTTGAATCAAAATATTTTTGATTAATATTTTTACATTTATCATTGAAAATATTTGTTTACTATATTACTATGAGCCTCCTGAACTGTGAGGATGAAAGTATTGGAGTTAAAAATATTTATGTTACGACATCATCAATCTTAAAAACTTCAAGATTAATTTTTTCATCTTCTTTTATTTTAACTATTATTTTATTTTTATTTATCAGTCCTCTGAGACACGTAATACGACCTTCTACTGACAATGCTCTAATAAGTATTCTACTATAAGCTAGCTTACTGACCATGAAACCTAAACTCAAAAAATTTTAACTAGAAGTAACAATGATTTTTTTTTTTTTTGGTGTTGGCAGGGATGATTTTATGTCAGAGATCAGTAAAAACAATAAAGTGATAGTGAGAGAAATCGACGATGAGGCTAGCGATCATCACAAGTCGGATAGCGATGAAGCCAGCGAACTACGGAGCAACAACTCGTAAGTGATGGCACTTGTTCTTTCATTCAAATTCATTTATATCCTCATTTCTACAACTGTATGTATTGTACATACAACAATTACCAATCAATTACTTTAATTCATCTCATACTATAACATTTCAAAATCTAATCAATACTGAGAGAAAAAAATTGCATGTGCTAGAATGATAATGTGGTACTGTTCAGTTGTCTGGAGACTTTTTACTGTTTGTACAATATAAATAACTGTCCAGAATGGTAAAAATTACGTCACCAAAAGTAAAAAGATCCTAGATGTGACTAAACTGTCATTTTAGCACAGTAAATGTTATTTTTGTCTCTATCAGTAGTAAAAATATAAGGTAAATGTTCATTTTCGTTTATTGTTTCCAGAAATTGCAGCGAAAAAGACGACCGTAGACAAGAACGGCTTCGAGCATAATATGTATTACGTCAACGATGGCGTCTATGGCTCGTTCCTTGACGAGCTGCTGCAGATCAGAACGCGAGTACCCCAAGCTATCGACGAGGTAAGTTCAAGAGTCTTGGCTAATACTTGTTTAGGGATATTTTCATCAATGTTTAATTTGTGTCCTTTGAGATTTTAGGTTTTTTTGTCGATGCTAAAATTTATTGCTATAAGATTCAATAACAGGGCTTTTTTGTCCCAGCAGTTTTCGTTACCGAACGAAAGAACTTGACAACGAATAAAAAATATCGTATTGTGATGATTAAAATAAAAAGTGTTTTCTTTATTTTGTAATGAAGTCAAAATACTTTCAAAAAAATATTCAAGTGTATATTAATATTAACATGTATGTTAATGCAATTTTACGATACTCTCGACTAATTTTTGGGGTTTTTTTTTGTTTATGCTCTGACAAACAAAACTTTTGTTTTATTTGGCACGACTTATACGCAGAAATGACTTATTTTCGTTGTTTTTGATTTGTCAATTTTAGAAAGATTTTTTAAAAACGTATTATGTTTTTGTTAAAAAATTTCTTTTTTTAGTTTAATAGAATCCTACGCAACATTTTTTTGATAACATTAAAAAATTAGTTGAGTAACATTTAATAATTTGCTAATTATAACGATCAAATATAATTCAATTAACTTAATTAAACAATTCAATAACGTAATAATATTAATAACAAAATGTAATTAAATCACTAACTGCTTAACGTAACCAAACTAAATTAAACATAACTTAACAACTTAATCAACTAACAAATTAATATGAACAAATTGAATTTTTTTTTCCAATACGTTTGAAACGGTAAGTGATAAAAATTTTATTTTAAGTGTGAAAAAAATTAGTTAAGTACTTCAAGGTAAATTTTCTTCTACGTAGTCTTGGAACCCTGTCATCAGACACGGAAAGTCATAAACATTAAAATTAATTAGTAGTTTTGTCACACAACTTTTATTATTATTTCGAAAACGAAAGTAACGTATGCACGAGGATAGCCAAATTAGCAAAAATTTTTTTGCACGACACATTGGGTGTTGATGTAAGCTCCACAATAAATATCACTTGATTCGACTTCCTGATCATTTTGCATACCTGAATATCATTTTTTTTTTCCTTTTCTGTCAAAAATATTTAAACGTCATGTGTAATCACGTGTCAAACTACAAGTGTCGCATAAATGGGTTAGCGGACACGTCGTCAATTAATGCGGACTTTATTAGTCGCGTGATTTGGAATAATTTCCATGTAATCGCCTTTTTTATACATAATTTATGAGTTCGTGCTCCGATTTTAGGTAAGAAAAAAATTTATGGAATAATCGTGCATTAAAATTTGTTGCAAAAACTGCTATTTTTTTAGTTTAGAACCTATTTTTTAGAGGAATACAAAAAATTAAGTGAAAAAATCAGTACTGCCAAAAGTATAAGTTTTGTGGTTCGTGTAAACTTGAATGGATAGGATTGATTGTAAGACTCATTCTGCGATAAATTTTCGAGATAAGACCCAGGGGGTTCCTATCCACAGAAGAACGATAAAAACTATCTTTGCAATCTTTATGACTTTCGTATCTTTGATTAGCCTTTCAAATCCTGTGCTGATAAAAATGATTAGAGGTACTTACTGTAAAGTAATATTAATTATAAAATAATTTTTTCCATCAGATTATTACTATCATTATGAATATTGGTATAATAATAATATAATACATCCTTTCTTTTGCTGAAAATGACATTAGATGATAGTATGGGATAGATTTAGGTTTAGGTGATGAAAAATTTCATTTAAAAAAAGTAAAAACAGTAGTTTTAATGCATCGTGAATAAATACTTTTAAAAAATTAAAACATTTCAATTAACAGTTCAACTACGATAATCATTGCTCTTTGTGTAGAACACTAATTTTCAAACACAAAAATAATTTTTATTTTTCAATCGAAAAGTAATTTAGTCTTCGAGGTTTATTTCTCAAATTCTGGACCATGACCCCGTGATGGACGAAATTATATCAAATCATATTTATATGGACGAACGACTTTACACATCGAAATATTTGAGACGATAAAAATTTATTCGAATTTCCATGCTGATAGATAAGCTTCATTTCGGTAAAGTCTCCATCCAGAACTAGTATAAATGAAATTCCGTACCAAAATCAAAAGTTGTTGAATTATTGAAAGTATAATATGCTCCAGTAGATTTCGATACGGATTTAAAATATCTTGACCAACGTGCTACTTATTCGCAATACCATTGGATTAGTAATTCCTCACATGCACGCACGCACACGTACACCCATACTTATATCTCACGATAACATCGCTGAGAGAAAAGAAAAAATTATTGTGCCAGAATGGTAATCTGGTGTCATTGCACCGTCTAGTGACTTTTTACTATTGGTGACCTAATTTTTACCATTCTGGACAGTAATTCCTAATTTACAAACAGTAAAAATCACTGTACTTACAACAAAAATTACTGTTCTAAACATTAAAAATTATTGTTCAAATAGTAAAAAGTCTGTAGAGACGACCGAACATTACCAGATTACCATTCTAGCACAGTAATTTTTTTTTCTCTCAGTGTGCACTAAGAATCATAATAATAATTAAAATAACAATTATGGGAATAACGATCACAACTCTAACGGATTAATCGAAAAGCACATGGCAATACTAACGCTTTGCAAAAATCCCGCAAAAATCGCTCGCAGTTCGCAGACGTGATAAACGAGGCCCTGGAGGACGTGGACCCGTCGATCCGAGTGATCAGCTTCCACACTTGAGCAAGTGTTTCTTTCTCGGGATTTTCCTCCTCTGCGAGAAAAAAAAATTGTTTATCGATTAGAGAACGATTAATCATTTTTTTTTAACAGCAAAGTAGATGACAAGTGTGTTAACAAGAGGTGGTTGGAAAAATTCACCTTTTTGTCACTTGTTTATTCGCATAACTTGACGGTATCGTGGTAACACACACGTAAAGGGGTATTGCACTGTAGACAGAGCGATTTAGAGCGTTTAGGAATTGCTAAACAAACAAACAAGTTTATACGCTGCAAAGTTGACTAGTTGTGGCCAGAAAAATAAAGCAATCAAATCGACATTCGCATAAAGCAACGTAGGAATTCGGTATAGGTAGAATTATTTCATGCACTTTGCTGTCGTGATGATGATAACATTTTTATATTTTTAGATTATATTAATAAA